AACCCAAAAAACCAACCACCCTATGAACAAACAAACCAACCTACAGCCCCAGGTCAGGTTGAGCATTAATCTCCACGAGCTGGGAAGCGAGTTGGAGGGAGGCGAGTTGCGCCGGGGTGTTGCACGGGTGCTCCCTGCCATCCTTCTGCACTGGGTGGGTCCGGTGATATTAGATCATTATGTGCATACCACAAAAATAGTTAGTGTCTGTGTAAGAGCAGTTTCTCCCCCCAAAAATAATAATAAAAAACCAAAACAAAACAGTTTGGGGATCTCTGCAGACTTCAGCTTCTGAGTGGTTCCCACGAAGGAGAATGTAAGCAGAGATTTTGCAAGAGCCTGTATCAGAAAGCGAAATCCTTTGATATTTTCAGGTTTAAAACAACCGCTTCGGTTCCCCGTGCTCTGATTTATATTTATTTTATTTTTTCCATTGCTATCCCTCTGCACATGCTCTTTGCCGCTGGCAGCCTCGCGTCAGGCAGGGCTGGGGGTACCCGCGCGGTACCACAGCGATGCTGCGGCAGGAGCTGCTGTAATGCAGGTGTGTCAGGCAAAAGGCATCCCCCCTCATTTTGCGGGGAAAATAGGGGGAATTTGATCTTCTTGAGACCAGAAGGATTGCAGCCAGTGGGAGGAAAAAGAGAGGTAGGAGGTTTTTTAGGGCATCACTGGGCAGTAGAAACCCCTGCGCTGCCTCTGCAGTGGGCTGGCTCAGCTGCGATGCTCGTGCCCGGCCACACAAGCCCTGCATGGCGTGGAGGAGGGATGCTCCCGCGATCCCCTCAGGCTTGGGCTGATGTCCTCTCTCCCCAGAGCAGCTAAAGGGCTGATTCTCCAGCGGTATCTACCAGTTGGACAGAAATCCTGCCCAGATCTCCCAGGACGCTGGTTGGGAATGGCGGGGCAGCGCCCTGTGCCCACGGTGCCTTGCAAGGAGGCAGACACCAGCTCCTGAGTCCGTTCGCGCCTCTGGGCTCCCCAAACCCGACCCTGTGGCTGCCCCACATCTCATCCAGATGCCCACGGCCTCAGCCTCGCTGCTGGGAAGGAAACGCCGGAGAAGGCGGCATTCCCTCCTGGGTGGCTCGTCAAGCCAGAGCCTGTTTGCAAAGGCATGGGGAGGATGGGACGAGCGGGATTCGACTCGTCCGCAGCCGGTCGTTGGCCAAAAGCACTCAGCCAGCCTCTCCTGAGCCCTGGGGATCCCGTAATTTGCTTTTGGCCCCAGCTCCGAACCCTTGGCCAAGCCAAGGCGTTGCAGGTGGATTGCCGCTCTCCCCGGAGCAGTCAGGGTCCATCCGAAACCCAAGCAACTCCCGCACGGTCCAGGGATGAGTATAAATAGACACCAGATGGTGGAACAAGTGAATTTGACCTTTTAATCTGCACTAAAGAGCTGTTTGTTCGGTTCGCTTTCCGTCTTCGCTTTCCAGACAAAGGGAAGGTGGACGGATGTTTTCCGAGTCTCTCCGTTCCTTGCTGCTGAAAGAGTTTCTTGGCTGGATGTAGCCCTGCGGATGCGAGGGTCGGTGTCCCGGGGGATTTGTGGTAGGGACTGAGAGCTCCCAGGTAACAACTACAAGGATGGAGAGAAACCTGTAGTGGGTTAGAAAAGGATGGGGCAGGATTTGCTCCCTTGAAAATGATGGATGATCCCAACGGCGCGCAGCTCCGGCATAGAGCATCCTTCTAGGTCTTCACACATGTCATCTTAGGAAGTCTCTGTGATATTTTTAGGAAGGTTCCCAATGGGTTTTCCCCACAGGGTAAACAATTCCCCCGGTCCCCTGGAGCAACCAGCCGTTCGTGGGGATCTCGCCTGGGTTTCTTGCCTCGGCGGTGACTTCTCCGTGACATTTGTTGCATGCTTCGGGCTGGGATGTGAGTCACGTCGCGGAGATCTGGCCAGTCTAAATAAACCAGTCTATTCAGCGCTCCCATCATCCTTGCTGGGGCCTGCCCTTGGATAATGAGCCGGGAAGGACTTGGGATACGTCTTGCTGAAGCGAGACATCTGTTTTATGTGAAGCTGCCAGCGACGGGATAAAATGTGGCAGAATAATTTGAAATAGCCACAACCACCCTGGGCGAGCGGCTCTGCCCCGTGAGCTGCTCTCGGTGCCGTCGCTGTTAGGGGAGTTAGGGGAGGGAGGTATATCCCTAAACATCTCCCTCGCTGGCTAAGAAAACGGCATTTCGTGCATATCCCTGTCCCAGCAGCGTTGCGATGGATGGGCGCGCGGAGCCAGTTCCACTCGGGAAACATGGATTTTGGGTGAAACTCGGCCGTCGGAGAGGGCTTCCACCGAGTCCTTGCAGTTTAATTAGCTAGTGGCGCTGAAGCGAGACCGTGGGGTGTAATTCGTCTGGGGAAGAGAGAAGCCACTTTCTCTTTCCCAATACTGTATTGTGTAATAGCTGCATTTTTTTCTCCTGACTCCGGGACCGTGAACGGGTGCCAAGCAGAAGAGGAATTTCGATGCTCCGATAAGATGTTTACATCAGCCTAAACATCGCCGGCGCATTTGACATATTAAGTAATCTCTGGTCATCCCAGTTGCCCGAGCAGGGGATGCTGCTGGGCGACGACTCGGCCGTCAAAGCGCTTTGGCCCCGGTTTGTCGCCGAGGACATTGGGTTCCAACCCTGCGGGCAGGAGTTTTACAGCCGTGCGAGGGTGGTTTTGCACCCACGGGAGGTTGTGCAGGAGGCGGTTCCCGCCCCAGGGCGGCAAGGGCAGGGTTAATGCTTTGGGAATATGCAAGGGCACTCGCTGGGACACGTGAGGTTTCCTTGAAGGGCTTCTGGGTGCAAAGGGTTCGTGGGGGGTGGAGAAGGGGATGCAGGGGTGGGCTCGTCCTGCCCGTCCTTCCCGCCGGCACGAGGTGTAACATCACATACAGAAAAGGTGGCACTTGGTCTATCAACCCAGGTGGATGCCCGAGTCAGTCTGGATGTGGTAGGTGTCGTAAGGGAGGTTGATTTCTCCTTTCTGAACAACAACAACAACAAAAGAGCCCCACGGCAAAGGTTTTACCCAGGCTTTGCCTGCCCCTCTCTTTCCCCGCAGAACCACGTCCTGACCCTGATGTCCATGGCGGCTCGCATCTACAAACACCCCAGCCTGAAGAACTCCATCAACCTGGTGGTGGTGAAGGTGCTGGTGGTGGACGAGGCGGCAGCGGGGCCGGAGGTGTCCGACAACGGCGGGCTCACCCTGCGCAACTTCTGTAGCTGGCAGCAAAGGTTCAACCCTCCGAGCGACCGGCACCCGGAGCACTACGACACTGCCATCCTGCTGACGAGACAGGTCTGAAGGGTCCCTTGGGGATGCTCTGGTTGGGGTGGAGAGCAAAGGGGTCAGGGCGTCCCTGGAGGGGGAGGAGGGATCCCCCACCGTGCAAAGAATGAAGCTTGCGACAAAGCGACTGGGGGAGGGTGGTTGCATTTGGGGTGCAGACCACCAGTGGGTTGCCCCGCTCTGCGCGGAGGTGTTGAGGCTGCCGAAGGTGGGACCCCTTCACCCCTCCTTACCTCCCTCGGCGCCGCTCGCAAACAGGACTTCTGCGGACACCAAAGCTGCGACACGCTGGGAGTGGCGGATATCGGCACCATGTGCGACCGCAACAAAAGCTGCTCGGTGATTGAAGACGAGGGCCTGCAGGCAGCCTACACCCTGGCTCACGAACTGGGTAACGCGTCCCTTCCCGAGGGGGTTTCTGCTTTTTTCGGTCCGGCGTGGCCAGCCCCGCTGCTGGGAGGGGATGCAGCGCAGCCCAGCACCCGCATCTCCTGCTTGGGTACCAAGCCTGGGGCGGCACTGCGGGGCTTCTGGCACCAGCCGAAGCTGGTTTGCAGCAGCAAATGCGCTTAGAAGTCCCTGAGTTGGTGTAAATCGATGCATTTTGGGGGTACTGGTCGCCAGCCGGCTGAACATGAGCCGGCAGTGTGCCCAGGTGGCCGAGAAGGCCAACAGCGTCCTGGCCTGTATCAGCACTAGTGTGGCCAGCAGGAGCCGGGCAGGGATCGTGCCCCTGGACTC